AAAAAAAAAAGAGCAGTTTTTTTTATTTTGATAATACACAATTTTATAGAAAAAAATAGGTGAGTATAAAAGTTAACTCCTCTTTTTTCCCACTGGTCCTAATAACGATAAAACCAACAGCATCGACAATACGTTTCAGAATCGCGAATCGGCGAGCAGCCTTTTTTGGTATGAAATGATAAACTCCGAAATCTGTATGTCATAAAAAAGCAAACTTTTTTACGACTAAAACAGTTACAGTGTTTCCGAAAGTGCACCCTGACATGGGCTGACTCAGTAAAGAACTGAAAGGGTGCTATAAATACATGAAGCGCAACAACACACAAAAAATGCTCTTTGACCTAGAAAATTGGAGAGGATAGAGAGGTAGGTATAACTCAGATGATTTCCCTAGAATTCTCCATTCTCCATCCTCCATTAGTAGACGGTAAAAATGCTCTCTCTTTTTCAGGTTTTTTCTTACTTCTTAGTTCACCTTTCTCTCCTAAAAATTTTTCAAGTTTGTTGCACTACCGTAGTAGAAAAACAAACAGAGGTTCAAATTACCAATTATTAGTTCTTTGATACGCTTTACGAGTGCCTCAGTTATCATCAAGGATGAAAATTTCCCATTTTTTCTTTCCAAACTGCAGGTGGTGTGGGTTAGTTGTTTTAATTTGTCGAACACGTACTTTTATTTTCTTATCATTAATTTTTAAAATACCTTATATGGGTTGGAGTAATGGATTTTTATTTTTATTTTTATTTTTATTTTTTTTTTGAAATAGAGAAGGGTCTTTAAAAAGAGCCAAACAGATTAGGGTGAACCAAAAGCACAGTCAATTATGGGTATTGAACTGGTTTTTGCCGCATTCACCAGAGATGATTTTAATAAAATTCTCACCACTTTCATTTTTTGGTTCTATTGACATTTTTAGTTGCTTATACTCTTTGTATATGTCTAATTTTCTTCAGTGAAAAACTTATAGAGGTTAACGCAAACAAAATGGCAGCTTCTTTTCTCGCACAAGCACTTCATTTTCAATTTTTTTAGCTACAGTTTTGTAACAATTTATTGTGACTGACATTAGTTTCTTATGATTAGTGTGGCATCCAAACCAAGCTACTGAAGCTCCAGCTTTAATCCTGCAGAATCTAGTTCGATACACCTGATTAAGACCGGATAACTTTTTGCCTCACCAGTGCACGGCCAGTTAGGGCTCGGTAGCAACTTAGAAAAATTTTCGATGCTGGTTATGTCTTGAAACGATTGTTTGGCTAGCTGTTAATACTATTTAGCCGTTTTTGTCACGGTGCCAAGAATTAATTTTGGCTGGGCATTGGCTTCCACTGCTGTCGTAAGTGTCATATGCTACGGCGCTGCTGGGTTTTTTTCGTATTTGGGAGGGCGATCTTTATTCTTTCTTCGTTTTATACGAGCGGCTTTCAACTTTACAGTTTGTCATCTGATCCATTGAGCAACTCAACATGGTCAATTTATGACAATTACTTCTTTCTGATGAGTTTGTTACTCTTGTAACTGTTGCTACTAACTCCCTCCTTCACTAATTTTTTCGAAATGCTTACGAGATCTGTAAGTCAAAAAAATTTACATTGTTCAAGTAAACATCTTTGAAATTATTGACCATGTTTAGTCATGTATTGTATGTGGCATCTAATTTTTTGTGAGGAGAGACTGAAGAGGTTTTTCACTGTCTCTGTTTCGAGAATGGTTTTTTGGGAATATGAGTCAACAAAACATTTTTCTGACCGACCTCTTTCAGGCCGCTTGTGTGCGCATCTACCATCTGTAAAAGTTTTAACGGTAATTGTTTGGATACCTGAAGAAAAATTAAATTTTGCTTTCTCTGGTATTTTATCAGTTTGGTAGATTTTGACAGGTGTTTTTTACTAATGTACACGGAACGTTTTTGCTAGCGATTGAAAAATTCTACTTTGTATCCACATGTATCTACACTTTTTCGATTTTAACGGTAGTGCTTGTCAATGAAATTGTCTCTTCGGATTTCGTAAGAAGTTTAAAACGTTTGTGAAGGTTACCTTGTAAAAGGAGAATTTCATTTTCAAGTTGCGTAAACTTATGCATGTAGTTATAACTTAACAGGTGTTAATGTATCTTCTTTTATTAATATTAATTTATTACGCGATTAATGTGATTGCTTTGAATATGGGTGACGTACTTTGGTTGCTTTCAATAATAGTTAGATTGTTTTTTTTATATTTCATTTTGCAGGATGAGCGATTACAAGAAAGAATTTACTGGGGGCACTTTGAGACTGAAGAAAGGCGGAAAAATTTTTAAGAAGAAAGCATGTTATTGTATTAGCTTAGCTCATTGACTTTTAGATCTTTTTTACGTATGGCTTATATTATTGAATTCTTATGCTCCTATTTCGTTACAGAAGAAAGAAAACATCGATTTACGGAAGATTGACTTAACAATTCAGCGTGAAGGAGATTCGAATTCAGCTTATAAAACACCAGCCGAAATTGCGTTTGAAAAGAGGAGGCTGCAGAATCAAGTTGGTTTCCTTTTTTTTTTTTTTTCGATTTTGTGCGGGTTTTTTTGAGAAATTATTATCTAAAAGAATTACTTAAACCAAAATGAGTTCTTATTAATAAGTTTCTCTTTTCCAGCACCAAAGATTAGCCAAAGAAGCAGCAGTGAGTCATCGGGAGAAAGTTGAACGGTTTAATGCGCAAATGAGTAAATTGACAGAATTTAACGATATTCCGAAAGTTTCATGGACAAAATAGCTCCTCAGAGTTCGTGCAGTTCCCTCCACTCTTCGAGTCACCTGTATCTCCTGTACATATTATTTTTTGTTTCATGATCGGAATTGTTTTTTATATTTATTAACTCTCAATCTTGCTTTCACAGCCAGATGTAAAAATAAAAATTGGGTCTAGTTATATGCAAAATTAAAATTGGGAAAAATTGGAGCTGTTTAACCTTCAGTGAGTCAACTGGAAAAATTAAACGGCGTTTCAAAATTTTTGTAAACAAAGTAGTTTTTCGAAGTTTGCGCAATTCCTTTCTCCTTCTGAGCCTCGTGTAGGTATTTTATTGTGTTTTGCAATTGGGACTGTTGTTCTTAGGCTCTCAGTTTTATTCTCACATCTAAATATACAAATAAAAGATTGGAATCTTGAATGTGCAAAATTTAATACTAGTAAGAGGAGCTGTTGGAACCAAAATTGTATTCCTTATGCATCTTGTTACTCATACGGGTTATTCCATTGGTTTTTGGAATTCATGCTTTTTTTAATGCACGCCTCAGACTTTAGGTATGGATTTTGGGCGTGGTCTAGCGGCTCCTTATGGTTTCTGATTTTGTCTTACGTGTTGGGAAGTTTTAGATTTTTGATTGTGGTTACTTAAAATGAAAGTTTGGAAGTGTCAGTTCTTTTTGGGTTTAAAAATATCTTTGTTCAAGTTGAGGAAGTTCCGGAGCGTTTTGTATATTTGGAGGTTTTAGTACTGCGTAATGATTGACATGCTGTACAGTGCATGGATCTTAACCAAAAATTAGTAGGTTTGTAAAGTGTACTGCGCACAAAGTAACCACCAAAAACGAATACACAAGTTTATCAAAGTAAAGGAACAGAAGCAGGGAATATGATATACAATTTTGGTTTAAGGTCAGCGGTCTCTTTCTTAGGATTCGGTTGTTCTGTTTTAGCTTTTTTGTGTTGTCATTTGTGCTGACGTACTTTCAATTTGTGCGAAGTGAATAAAGTTTTGTGAATCTTATTTTGCTGCTCAAGATGTTGGTGTTCTTTTTTTTATATTCGGCTTCTGTGACAAATATTTTTTTGGCTTTCGCAACTTGTGCATGCTCTTTAAGGTTCAGGGTAGGTACGTTTGTAGACAAATGGTTAACTTTGAGAAAAAAAATTTACAGTTTGGGGTCTTGACCGGGAACGTTGGGAAGAGTACGATCTGTTCTGTTTTTTGGCTTTATAAGCATTATGAAAAAGAAGTCGAAGTTGCGCAAAGGTGGTGATGTTGTGCAGATGGAAGGCGTAGAAGATGAAGATAGAACGGCAGATCCTGTAAGGTCTTTGGTGTTGAAGGAACAGCAACAATTTATAAAGTGTGAAGGAATTTTGGTTGCTGCTCTATTTCAAAACATCTCAAAAAGTATGGTTATGATGTTGCAATTTGAGTAATAAAGTCTTTCCTACAGGTTCCAGAAGAAGAAAGTGATGAAGAGGAACCTATGGAAGGCACGGATGAAGTAGGTTTTGACATCTTGATTATTCAAGTCACGTCTCGGTAGTAATTCCTGTTTGCAGAAGCAGTCCAAATTTTAGTTTTTAGGATGAGAAGCAAGAGTTGATGGAAGAGGACCTACAACGTGCTGATAAGTTAGATTTTGATTTTGAGGCATTGCCGCCACATGAGAACGATAAAGAGGGAATTATCAACTTGCTTACTCAGGTTTGTTTTCCAGAAAGTTGAAACTTAATGAAAGTCATAATTTGTTTTTATTTAGATATTTTTGCGGACTAACTTAGATGTAATCAGCATGGCAAGAAAGTTAATTTCTAGACCGTCTTTGGGATGCGTTTATCTGGTAAGCACAATTGTTTTATGCTCCTTCATACCTTCATTGGCAGCAGTCTTGGTAATTTTTACGGTAGTGGTTTAGGCTGTGTAATCAAAGAGTTTTTTAATAGCTCAGTTTTTAACAACGTTACACTCATCAGAGCAAGCGTTTGAATGTTTAGTTAATCTTTGAAACAGTCAAGTTCCGCATTTTAAAATACTCTAATTTTCACTCATAAGATTGAGGTTATCTACAGCGTATGTTTAGTGGTACGTGGAACTACCGCATTTACTCAGTTATAGAGAAACATTTTAAAAGAATATTGTCCGAGTTGGTGGTGAATGAAGCCATTGCGGCAATATGAAGTTTTAAACGTTTTTGACGTAGTTTTAATGATGGTGGGGTGGAAAAATTGCGTGAGCGCCAAGGCGACAAATGTCCTCTTGTCCTGCTTGATTAGGCTACGAGTTAAATGAAAGGAAATAACCAAGAAACGTCTATAAATATTTTTAGCACCTAAGTGAGAGATGTCCGTCTGAGTTAGCGATCACTGACGAATTAAGAAAGATAAACCATCAAGGATTTTGCTAGTCGTTTGAGATTTATAAAGTAATAAGTTTCAAATGTTTACGTTTGTTAGTCTTCTGACGGGCCATTCGTTTTATTTTTTTCTGTATTTTTTTGGTATCTTTATGGCTAATGTGAAACTTGTCGTAATTTTGTCTTTTATTCGCCTTCACCACTTCAGATATAAATCTTACAATGATTTTTTTAAATTTTTTTGCTCTTTTTACCTGTTTTTGTTTTTTTAGCTTTTTTTGGTTGTTGGATTTAAAGTTTTATATCCTGCTTAAATTATCGAAACAAGATACTCGCAAATCATGAAGCTTTTATTGAAGTTGCCGTTTTTTACAGTCAGCTGAAGATAACGTGGATGAAGGAAGTGAGGATGTGGTTTATGGCATACTTTCTCTCCTCCCTTTGGGCTGCACAGAAGTACTTTTACTGATTGGATTTCGAAATAATGACTTTTTAAATTCTTTTGTTGTCTAAATTTTTCCCATTTTTTATCCTTTTAAAAGACAGTTGTAAGAAATTAGTCTTACGATGAGTTATGACTGGGAAAAAAAGGTTATTATCTGGAAAACCAATTTTGAAATCCTACGTACAGTTAGGTCATGGAATTGTAATACAGGTAATTGACAGTTTAGAT